GAGAGCTATTGTGATTTGAGTGTATGCTCGAATGTACCCTTATGATGCCTAATTTCAGATTTCATGTGAAAAAATCCAGGCCTATGAAAAAACTTAAGTTATAATATTTTCACCCTAAAGTTTGTGCTAAAAATAGCTCACTAAAGATGAGATACCATCTCCTTTCTTAATTATATCGTTAAATATTATCAATGTTTTAAATCAGGGAAAATGGTTAAAAAATCTCTCATTGCAAAATTTATTTTTTAAATGTACCTAAAGTTTGTTTAGAAAGTTATGTGTATCCTCTCTTCGTGGCTAAAAATGAGTAGTAACAGCTAAAGGACAAGGACTTTAAGTACATTTGGGCTAAAAATTCTGCAGTAAAGAATTTTTTTAAAAAACAATTTTCTCTTCAAATTATGTGTTAAAAAAATAAATTTAAGTGCTTATAAAAAAAAAAAAACTAAAGAGAAAGGATGAAAATGGTACTATGATGTATACCCATGTGATTTCCTTAAAAGCAGATGAATCTTGTGATGTGAAGTTTTAAAAAATAAAATAAATTAAATGTCAGTTATAGATATTCTTTAGCCAAACTGATCACTAACTTTCCCGAGACGTTAATGACAATGTGTGGCTCACGAATATATGAGGTTTTAATAATCGAGGGGTTCTACATTAATGGCAAGTGAGACCTAATTCAATAGATCTATCACGCAACTATTTTATTCTTTATTTGGCAAAATAAATCTTGAAGGCAACCTAATGAAAGTTAACTAATTATTATTTTAATGAGAATAATCATTTTAAATGTTAATATCTTTTATGAAGGAAAGCAACTAAAGTTGGCATGAAACTATGTTTAGTTGCTTACAAGTGAGAAAAGCCAAAAGGGGATTGAAAATTATACTTTTTTGGTCATTTTTTATGATTTAATTTTGTCATCGAACTACATGCATTTTAATTAAAAAAATTTCACTTTCATAAATAATCTAAAAATTATTATTATATAACTGTGCATTGAATATTTTTTCAAAAAAGATGCGTAAAATAATAATTTCGTGCAAAAAATAATTCTTTGTTAAAAATGAAAATTTTACTATACACTCCGCTGATCTTATTTATAAGCCATTCTTAATATGTTTTATGCAAATCAGGAAAAATCTTAAATTTATTAACTCTCATTTAAAATTTAACAACTTTTCAATTTATCCGTATTTAATATACATTATTCCTCATGTAAACAAAGCCAACACAATAATAAATAAAAAGTAAAATTGTATATCATACAAAAAATTTCTCTCATACCCATAAATAGGACCAAAAGATATATTTTTTTCTGCCCTACAAATAGGACCAGAGGAGTATTTCTTTGTACAAAATGCCTAATTTGTTATCGTAAAAGGAGAAATAGAAGATACTCTAACTAGAATAATCCTCATGCATTTGCAAGAGATATTCAAAAATCCTTCCATTGATACGTACAAGCAAAAAAAATTAAAACATAAAAAGAAGATCCAATAAAAAAAATAAAAAGAAGATGATATTAAAGAAGCATGAAATTTAATAGTACACGAACAAATTAAAAGATAAAAACGGCGCCAGGGATTTATTCAAATAATTAAGACAGAGTGGTGGGAAATGGTGACGTGGCCAAGGAAAAGCGCAAGGTGGGGGACCACCGTAAAGGATCCACCGCACGGCACCCACAAGTCCCACCAACTTGGCCTGCTCGTGTCCCTATCTAATCTGCCTCGTGTTTTTAGTGGCCACAGATATTTCCAGATCTTTTTCTCATATTTATATTAACACCCAATAAATTTGTCTATTTCATGTTAGTACCCGCTTTTATATGAAATAAAAGAAAATATTTTTAAATCAAGTTTTTTATATCCATTATATCAAAATTTTCAATTACATATAATGTATTCTAATTTTTTTAAGAAGGTTTATAATTAAATACTAATATTTGAAAAATAATTTAATGGTCATGTATGATTGAAAATTTTGAAATAATAAATATAAATAATTTGATGTAAATATGGATCTAAAATAAAATAGACATAATATTAACATTTAAAAATATAAAAAACTTGTATTTCAAAGCCATAAAAGTTAAACTAAATATCAACATCACAGTCAGCACAAAGAAATATTTAAAAATACGCTATTTCCGTTGAGGGCCGCATGTTTAATGGTAAACTTTACACTAAAATTTGAAATTTGAAGTATAATGCATGGAGGGTAGAAAAACTTGTGACTAAAAATGCAAGGTTTATTGACTTTGATTTTCAGATTTATTGTTAAATATTCAAATAACATGATTGAATTAAAAATTAACAAAACTTATATAAAACGTATAAATTATGCCTTGGATCCCACAGAAGTGGAAATCCGGCATCTGGGTGCTGACGCGTTTGGGAACGGATAATTTAATTTATTAATTAATAACTATTGAAATAGTAATTTTAATAGTAATTAATTTGCAGAGACTAATAGAGGTAAAAAGGGACTTGAAAAACAAGGGCCACTCATATTATGATAGGTTAAGAAAAGTCACAGGGTCGGAGTTTTCCTTCAGTCAAAAATCATGTGAAAGTTCCAGCCTCAGGGAAGCAATTGAATCGCACGGCTCTTTTTTCTTTTCTTTTCTTTTTTAGTTGATTATTTTTATGAGACTAAAGAAATTAATTGGCTCATGAATATCCTGATGGAAAATACTTAGGTCAAATTATTTGTAGGTTTATAATTAAATAATACTAAATGATAATTGGCAAACAAATATTAAATGATAATATTTTAAAAATTAAATATATGACTATTTGTAATTAGAGAAATCGACATAATGAATATTAAAAAAAAACTTAATCTAAGTATTGTTTTATTATGATTTATTGGTCAGCTTGTTATATTACACTCCAATATTCTATTTATAAGGAAGAAAAAATTATTTTGTTCGGTTATTAATATAAATCATTTCATTAATTTTATCCACAATCTATTATTTTATATTCAATCCATACATATTAAATAGAGATGAAATTAAAAAATTATTTGGTTTTAAGACATACTTTTTTGGTTCTATTTATAAGTCATTTTCAATATATTTCATACAGGCCAAGAAAAAATTTAAATTTTATTAACTTTCCTTTAAAATTTAACAACTTTTCAAATTTATTCCTATTCAATATACATTATACTCCAATAGAACAAAGTGTACATAGTATTAAATAAATAGTAAAATTATATATTTATATAGAAATTTTCTCTTTCTGTCATATAAATAGGATTAGATAGGATTAGATGAATAGTAACAATACATAAGATTTGAGATTTTTTAAATTTTCATAAAATGTGTTAAAAGTGTCTTGTTTATAATTGAAGTGCCCATTGCCCAAACTGTGATGATAATAATAGCTGATTCATGCATTATTGAATTCTCTATCTTGAAGAGAGATATACATATACATATTTATATATATATAAAATATATATATATATATGTGTATATATAATTGTATGAGCTGGGAAGATATTCACTGGGCCAACTCATTTTGGTGGCAATAGTATCCCACACCCTACTCCAAGCCTATTGGCGGCATGCTGAGCTGTCCTCCACACTCATCCGATAATTAAACAATCCAATTTTGCACCACCAAGATTCCCCTTTTCCTTCCGCCTCCAAAGTGACATTTAACTCGTCAACTGATTATTAACTAAGTACATTTTGGTTTTCTATATTTAAACTCATTACATCAATTATTATCTCTTTCCTTAAAATTGTTTCAGTTTTATTTCTTTTCCTTTTACACCAATGACAATATAAATCTCTTGTAATAAAATATTGGGTTAATATGTGATATTACTTATGATCCCCTTTTTAGTGGTACAATTTTTCTCATAATTTTTTTATACAATTTTATCCAAAGATCATGGGTAAAATCATGAATAAAAGTAAACATTTATTCTAATCTTAAAATATGATCTTGTTATCTCACATGTGATTTTTTTTTTCCCTTATTGATCAATTTAGGATAATTTTTTTGGAAAAAAACTAAAGATAACTGGTTAAATTTTTAAGTTCTGTCCAAAATTTTATGTAATAGCTAAAAATTCATATCCTAGTATTTTTAAACTAGTTAGATTGAGCTGAAATCTTATTATGTCGGGACAACACTAGAAACAATGAATTATTACAAAAATATTTTTTTCTTTTTTTATTTTGTTTTAGAAAATAATACTCTTCCTGTGCTTAATATAATACCTAATTATGAGTTGGTTTTAGTCCTAAATATAAGATCCACTTCTTATATTTATCAATTTTTTCTAAACTATTCCTAAGAATACTCCCTCAACTATAATTAACAGAGAGAGAGAGGAGGTATTAAGAAAGATTATTATGGTGTTTTAGAAAAAACATGTCACATTTCTTATAAATAAATAATTTACCTAACTTTTTTAATTTAATCAAATTAGTTAAATGGGTCTTATATTAAGAATCGGAAAAGTAAGATATATATATTTTTCTAAATTTTGTTTCAGAACATATGCGGTTCTAATGTTTTTCAGACAAGAAGAGTTGTGAAAGTCAAACGACAGACAGGCGCGTGAAGTTAAAAATAAATATCGTTTGAAGTCAAAAAAAGAAACAAAAAATATCTTTTAATTTTTGATAAAATCTTCTCAATTATCTGCTCAGCTCTCATGTCTTCCACAAAATATAACGACACTTCCGATTTCCCGAATAACGTTTGTCAGAAAATAAAAAAGATTAATAGCCGACCGCCACGTGTCGTGGGTCCCAGTGCGTTCTCAGCCACAAGCCTCTCCCGTCTTCTGGAACCCTCCATTGAGATTTTTATTTTTCCCCAAAAATATTTTCTCCTCCCTAGCGTGGCACTCCCTCATTTTTTTTCACAATTTTTTATTATTTTTTCTCACTTTATTTCATAGCTCTTCCATTTAACTCTCCTCTTCCTCCTCCTCCTTCCCTGTTCTTGCCTTCTCTCTTATTTTGTGGTTTTCTCATTCTTTGCTCGTTTAATCTCTCTGAGATTACAGTTTGTCTCGGAATATTGAACATTCTTGAGGAATTATATATTTTCCCGTGGATCGAAATCGTCGAAAATTTTGTTTCTCCAGCAAAGTCCGAGGTATAACTATCTCACTTTCATGTTTCTCAGCTCAAGCCTTGTTCCGTTTCTGTTTTGTTCGTCTCTGGGAAGAAAATTAGAGATTTGACATTGAGAATCTGAATCTGATTGATCAGATTTATGCAATAAAAGTCGGAGCTATTTTGTCTGCTTTAATCTGTGGATAAAGAAAGAAACTCGAGTTTGTTTATGGTTCTCTGTGATTTTGTTTGCTTTTGAATTCGCGGTTTAATCGATGGCAACTATATGCTGTAGGCTGCTGGGTTTGCTCTCTATTAAGGTTAGAGTGTTTTCTCCGGCAGGACTTACTCTGATTTTGCTCCAATGGAAATGCAGGTACACAAGGAACAGTTCGAACTGGACCTTTTTAATTGACCGTTCTAGTTTTCTTTTTCTTTGGTTGCCTGGATAGATGTGTCTTTTAAATCAGGGGCCTAATGTTATTTGATTTTTTTTTAATATATTTTAAATTTTAATTACTCTTCTGCCTTTAAGAACAATCAAATGGACAATAGAATTTATGGCTCGATCATTCTGATTATGTCTCGGACTTACGGAAGCCAATTAACTTGTATAGACCAGAAGTTCCGAGTGGATGTATTCGTTTTTATCTTAGCTCTGCAGTTACATGCTGAAATTTCATCGCGGCTATCTGTTTCCGTGTATGTAATCACTAAAAGAGCTTCCTTCTATTTAAAGTGACCTACAGGTCAGCGTGGACTGGCTTAGTTACATTGAAATGGATGTACTACTTGGCTATGATTGTCTATAAAGAGTACAACTCAGTACAATGTACAATTCATTTATCTAATTATAACTTTCAGTTTTATTGTTAGTTCTTTTTATTGTATGGGAAAATGATCAGTGAGTAATTTCCTATATATTTGCATAAAATTTGGAGGCAAAGTTGGGCTGCTTATCGTATTGATCCTTCTGGGATGCTGGGGGAGCTTGCTTTGAATCTTTCACTGGCTACATATAGTATCTTCTTGATATAAATTAGGTTTCATTTGCCTTGCATTCACTTGTCGAGAAGCTTTTTTTCCCTGCATAAATGGAGATTTCAACAATAACTAATCCATTGGCTCTTTTCTACCTGAGAAAAATATAGATGTCTCGTAGAAACTGAGTGATTTTCAAGTGTGCATCAATTCCTTTAATGACAAAATAATTATCATTCCAGACTATTTTTTCCCTTTTCTGTTTTACCTTTCTTTTATTGGGGACAGTTAAAACAACTCATCCGTTACTGTGGATGCAGGACCATATAGAAGGAATAAAGTTGAATAGCTCTGGCAATGCTAGCAATAACCATTACAACAATGGCACAAAATCTGGAAATGTTGACCTATTGAATGATCAAACTCCTAATGGAAACAGCCATCCTCCTAAGGTTGTTTCACTTTCATATTGAGTAACTCTTTTATGAAACAATATGCATTAAAAAAACTCGTTCCTTATACTTTAATCTCACTTATAAATATTTTTAACAGGTGAGGAAACCATATACCATTTCCAAGCAAAGAGAAAAGTGGACAGAGGAAGAGCATCAGAAGTTCCTGGAGGCTTTGAAATTGTATGGTCGTGGTTGGCGACAAATTGAAGGTTATTAGTCTATGTTGATTCAATCACAGTGATCTAAAGTAAATATTTCACATGTCTGGTCCCGTTAGATGAAGCCATTCTTAATTTCATGCAGAACACATAGGTACAAAGACTGCAGTTCAGATTCGAAGCCATGCCCAGAAGTTCTTCTCTAAGGTTAATATTTAGATTCCAGTAAATATTATGGTAATATACTGAATGATACTACCAGAATATTGGCTTTGTCAGTCTCTATAATCTAGATCATATCTTTCTCAGAAATGACATGATTTTGATCATCAGCAACTCAAAAGCTCCGAAGATCTGATTGGTGTTTTAATCTACTTCAAATTTCTCATGAATTAAATCTCTAACTGGCTTTAGGTTGCCCGGGAATCTGATGGCGCTTCTGAAAGTCCTATAAAACCAAGTGATATACCTCCTCCTCGGCCAAAGAGGAAACCCCTACATCCATATCCCCGTAAATCAGTTGACTCTGGCAAAAGACTGTCCATTGCAAATGAAGCGCAAAGATCCCAATCCCCAAACCTGGCAGTTGCAGAGAAAGACACCCAGTCTCCGACCTCGGTCCTATCTGCATCTAATTCAGAAGTGTTTGGATCAGCATCCCCAGAGCAGCCTAACAGATGTCAATCACCTAATTCTTGTGCCACTGATGTCCACTCATCCAACTTATCACCATCACCCGTTGAAAAGGAAAATGATTGCATGACATTTGACTCTTCTGTGGAGGAAGAGAAGGGATCTCTTGCTTCACTCTCTTTATCTGCTGGTTTGAACTTAAATGTGCTGTCAACGGTATGATGAGCTTCATGTTCTTTAAGATTTAACTAGTGTGATATGATGTTGTTTCTAAAATTCTTTATTGTGGTTAAGGTTTTGACTGATTACCAAAGTATCTGTTGTTATTCCAGAAGTCTGAGTTGAGTTCCAAGGATATTGAATCTTCTATTGAAGATGCTACCAACGTGGCCCATATTACAAGTATTAAGCTGTTTGGAAGAACTATTCAGATGGTAGATAATCAGAAGTTACTTGATGTAGATGGGGAGAATATCAAGGCAATTGCAAGCAAGTCTGATCATGTAGATGACGTTGAGAACGAAAAGCTTGGCCAATCGTGGGCGATCCAGCCAACTAGATTAACAACTATCACGAGGCATGTGTTAAAGTACTACAATCATTGAGTAGACGCCAAAGTCTTCCATTTTGTTTATCTTCTTCCATGTATCCAAATTCTAAATCCTAAACCTGTTCGCCCCTCTTTGAAAGACAGGATGACAGAGAAGGACACTTCCTGTACTGGTTCGAATGCTGGAACTGGCTGTGAAATGGACAATGGAGACAGGAACTCAGATGCTGATGATTCTCAAAGCCAGTTGTCTCATCGGGAGGGAGAAAATGTACCCCGCAGAGAGCCTCCAAGAGGTTTTGTACCATATAAAAGATGTTTGGCCGAGAGAGATGCAAATTCAGCTTTTGTTGCATTGGAAGGGACGAAGGGGCAACGAGCTAGGGTATGCTTATAGCTTACAGGTGTATACCTAGAGGTCCGTTTTTGGCCTGAAAATTTGCCCAGGTCATAGAGGAACTAATTTTATTAGGTGATACCTAATTGAGAAACTTATTTACAATTCTTTTTTCTCAAATATCTCCTGCATGTCAGCAGCCACCTGCTCTGTATAATGTCTACCTTGGCATATCTTAATGTAATCATATAAATTGCCACCTCAAGAAATTGGACACCTGGATTCGTTTCTGTTTGGCAGTTTTTGGCCTATGCATAATGAATTTCAGGTACTTGTCTGGCTTCCCTCTGATATTTATGCACAATGATATCCATCAAAATACTGTGAAGCAAATTTAATCTCAATCTTCATTGAAGAACTAAATCCTTTCTTCAATTACCTTTCACGGAAAATCTGTAATCAACCCCGGAATAAAAATACCAGTACAAAATGAGCCATGAAACTAGATTCCTCCCTCCCCCACCTTTCCTTTTCTTGATGCCTTATTCCACTAATGCATGAAAGCAGGCCCTGCTTGTTCTTCAACTTCAGAGCATATTCAATTCTTCTTGATCCCACCGTACGGTGCATAAGTAACCTGCATGATAATTTAGTTAATGACTTGCTGGGGTTCTAATTATAAAGGGACTTGATCTGATAAAGTCGGCTAATTAGAAGAGTAACATTGGTGTGCATATCTATATGTTCAAATTGCTTGCTGCTTTTGGAAGAGATTTGAAATAGTTAATCACTTCGTTTATTTTTCTCTCTTTCTATATTTATCTCTATTGGAATGTATTGTTCATCACCAATTTATAATTGCACAGGGGAGAGATGCCCGATGTGATTGACCGGCAATGAATAATTTACCGTATCAGGTGTTTGTCTCGTAAGATTTTAACCTAATATTTTGTGTCAAGAAACATCTAAGACGCTTGTTTTTTTGCAAACATCCCTTGAATTTGTGGCCGCAATAATTATTTAATTAATTATCGTTATAATACCTAGTGAAGCGTAAACATATCCATGTATTTCTTATCTTACCCCTAAGCCTCCTCTTAATCAAGAGGTAAGAGGTATTTTTCCGGTTCTTAATATATGACTTATTTGACTAATGTGATTAGATTAAAGAAATTAGGTAAATTAGTTAATTATAAAAAATGTGACGTTTTTCCGAAAACACTATAATCATCTTTCTTAATACCTTGCTCTCTCTTCTACTTAACTATGGTTGAAAGAGTGTCTATAGGGGTCATTTAAAGAAAATTGACAAATATGAAAATATGTCTTATATTTATGATCAAAACCAACTTAATAATTGGGTCTTATATTAAGAACCAGATGAGTAATAAACATCGGGAGAATTATTATTAATTGACGAAAATAAGTATAAGAAAAGAAAAGAGCTGAGTCAGCATGCATGCTCCTTACATCATAACCCTGTTACAGCTCTAAATAAAACACTTAACCTACTTGGTAACTATAGCCACCTACCATGTGCTTTGTTATAAAGCTTTCTTGAACTGATCGAAATACAAACCTAATGAACAAGTTGCTGGAATGATGTGTCTGCATTAAACAAACCTAATGTGGGTGTGAGCTTGGATGCAGAAAGTGAGGAAATGTACGAAGGATAGATGAGAAAGAGAGAATAGCGAGCTTGAAGATCATTTCATATTTCGAAAGCCTTGTCAAACCAGAAGATGTTTTTGGCGATCGTAGGAGATAGAGACTTTTTCAGCCACCCTTGAACGAGGCTATTGCAGCGTTTTCCCATGCAAAAAACAGAGGATCATCAACTTGTGACGGAGAAATCGAGACATCAATGAACCTGCGCTTGTTCTTGGAAAGCAATGCTATGCCCATTGCCTTAGCCCGGCTATGATAGTTTAAGCCATCAGGAGATGGTGCAACTACATAGCTGAGCAGAGGAAGAGGATTCTGCGGCCATAAAAGCTCAAAGAAGAAGGAAAAGTCAAAGAAGGAAAACGGAAAGAAAAGGTAAGGGCAAATACAAAGAGATGAGAGTAATGGAAGAGAGAGAAGAAGGTTAGACTCTAGATACCATGTGATAGAATTTACTAAAATGGAATAACTTGCATTTCATTAATAAGAAAGTCATATCTATGCAAGAGAGAATAATACTTGACAATCAAATTATACAAGCAACTGAATCAGTTTTGGATAATTAATAGAAATATTAATTATATCATTCACACATTGAGACCTACCGAGTTTTATTTCTCTCTGTTCAGGTAGATCAGATCTAGCGTGCGGGGGGGAAAATAAATAAAACTATCTCATTTGACATATAAGGCCCACTAAAACCCTCTTTCTCTCTCTCCCCCTCCCTGCTTGGTTGGTATTAGAGTTTTTAATTTCCACGCCTTTCTTTATGATAAGGGAATTACCGAATTAGTGGTAATAGAGGTACAACATTATCTAGTCGTTACACGATCTGGGCTTTTCTTTTTTTTGGGGGGGGGGGTTGAATAAGCTGTCAAAGTGGCACTCGTGCATGGCCCAAACAGTGTGGATGCCGTGCAGAAGCCCTTTCTCTGTGATAAACTTACAGGGTGTTTAGATGGAATCAAAACCATAGTTTTAAAAGTGCTTTTACAGTATACGAAGTAAATATATAAATGAGTTTATCTCAATTTATGAAAAAAATGTTTCTTTTTATGGTGCCGAAACATCCCCTAAACCAAAGTCCTTGTTCATGCCTTGCCCTGTTTGTTGGGTTGCTTCCCTATCCCTCAGCATCTCTACTTGCCAAATACTACCTCTTTCGGTATAAAAACTAGTTGTACATTGGACTTAGTACTTAATATAAAACATCGATTTACTTCATCTTTTAAGTTATAATTTTTTCTTCAAAATAATAGTCCTATTAATTATAAGGTGTTGGGTAGTTTTAATACACATAATTAAAGAAGAAAGTTTAAGAAAATCAATACACATTTGTTGTAAATAAATAACTTAATTAATTTTCTTAATCCTTTTAAATTAGTTGTTTAACTTTTATGTTAAGGACTATAGGTAGTACTACCTCCGATCCTAATTATAAGAGCCAGTTGACTAATTTGAAGAAATTAAAGAAGTAAGTTGAGTTAGTTATTTGTCCTAAATAGGTGTTATCTTTCCTAAAATATCCTTACTAATCAAGTGTATTGACTAGAACTCTTATTATTAGAAGGGCTACTTTGAAAAAAAAAATATAAATATGAGAAACAAAGTGGATTAGGGTCTTATATTTAGGACCAAAATAAAAGTCAAACATGGTCTTATATTAAGGACCGGAGGTAGTACCATTTATTTGCCATCAAAGGAAACAACATTTTTCGGCAGTATTACCCTCATAATATTCATTAAAACACACACCCTGAGCGTCTTTGATTCAACTGCATGGAAATTAATTTGTGTTTAAGAGTGAGTGAGAGAGAAAATTATGAACATGGAAGCGAAAGAGAGAAATTTGTGGTAAAAAAAGGGAAAATATAACTTTTGGTCCCTCAAATTTAGGCCAATTTAGGTTTTGATCCCTGAAATTTAAGACCGGAGGTATTGGTCCCTGGAATTTATTCCGTTACAAAATGTTAGTCCCTGGAAGCCATATGCCGTTACAACTTGCTGAGGTGGCACAAACGGTGTCAGCTATGATGATTTGGCTTCTGACTTGGCAACATGAGCTAATTAAATGGCATGGGAGTTGGATATCTGATGTGGAGAAAGAAAGAAAGAAAGAAAGAAGGTGCCAGTTTGAAGAAAAAGACAGAGGATTCATGTTTAAAAAAAGACAGAGGACTTACATCAGAAACTTGTGGGGGAGTAGAGGAAAATGACAGTGCATATGGAATAGAAGTAAGCAACGGGAAAGGCGCTAGGTCAAAGAAGACCCACACTTGCCGGCAAAGAGTGACGTGGTTTTCACCAGAATAGCAGCATTTCTCACAACAGTGGTGTTACAAAATTGAACCCACCGTTTGCTTCTTTAATTGTTCGTTGAATGGTGAAGAAGTAATGTGTGTTTTGTATATAGTTGATTAACCCATGTTTGAGAAAAGTAAGGAGTCAGCTGGGGAAGGGCAAGGATGCGAATGGTGATTGATTCATCAATTGCATGTTTAATTTAGAGTTGTTTGCTTTAATTAGCCGTATAGTCGTTTATTGTTTTTGTTGTTTTCGTTAGATTTTAACCCATTTAACCGATTCGGTCTTTGATCCTTTTCAATATTGTGTCTTCGTGCATGCTCTGTTTTCAGTTTTTTCTGGAAGTTGTTGGCATGAGCAGCAAGAGGGCACTCATTTGATTTCATTTTATTATAGAGCACTGACTTGTCGGTTTGAGCATCCGTATTGTTCTTGTTGAGCAGTGAGTGTACTATGTTTTTGTTTACTTCCATTGCATTATGCTCTGTTTTTTGCTTGAATTATAGTACTATTTTGATTGTTTCTCCAATACATATTCAAGAATTGTGTCTTTTTTTCGAATATGTATTAGAGAATTGGTGCCACTTCTATTCTGCACCTTCCATTGCCAAGTCAGAAGCCAAATCATCATAGCTGACACTGTTTGTACCACCTCAGCAAATTGTGACGGCATATGGCTTTCAGGGACTAACGTTTTGTAACGGAATAAATTCCAGGGACCAATACCTCCCGTGTTAAATTTCAGGAACCAAAACCTAAATGGGCTTGTATTTTTCCTAAAAAAAATGATGGTATAGTTTAAGTGAGCAGCTACTTGAAGAACAAGAAATTATTTGGTGTTAACATGTCCATCAACATCATCTTGCTAATGGAATCATATCATTTAATTAGTTTGTTGCAAAATACTAAAGTAGAGTATATGATACTTTGTTTAGTGAGTGAATCCTATAAAAAAACTTAAAATTACTAAATCCTAAATAAAAAATTACAACAAAAATATGTTGTTATTTACAAGTTTAATATTGTCAGAATCTATTAAAATGTTATTACTAAACCTTATTTGAAATTTAGTGATTTTAATTTTTTTTTTTGGGTGAGATTCTCTCTTGTTTAGTTCTACAAGATATAACATAATAATGAAGATTAAGTTATAGGTAATTAATGAAGTATTAAAATTAATATTAAAATACCAATCTATAATAAATTATATACTCCCCTGGTTCTTAATATAGAACTTAATCAAAGAGTTAATATTGATTTTATATGTAAGATCTATTTTATATATATATATTTTTTTAAAACCAACCTTATTAACATTTTTCAACACTAATCAAATAAGAGAGGGAGGGAGTGAATTAAAGAAGATATTTATGGTATTTTAA